GCATTTTTTGTTTTTTATACCCCCTTTTTTCTCTCTCTCTCTCTGTCCCTCTCTCTCTCTCTCTCTCTCTCTCTCTCTCTCTCTCTCATTCTCATTCTCTCTCTCCCATTCTCTCCCCTTCTCTCTCTCCCTCTCTTTGGCTCTCTTTTTACCAACCCGCTTGACCCCATTTCGTCGTCCATTAATTATTCGCCGCGTTGTCGCGTTAGGCCCCCCTGGGTCGGGGGGTTGGGGACGGGTTGGGGCGCCCCGTGCGCGCACGCCACGACACTCAGATTGCTTCCTCTCGCATCAATCCTCTTATACAGCCCCCTCCGGCCCCCTCCGGCCCCCTCCCCCAGCGCACGCCCTGGAGGTGATGCGGGCTTGCCTAACTTTCCCCCGGTAAGGCGCCACAACGCCTGGAGGGACGAGTGAGTATAGGCAAACGCGACACGAAGCACTTCCGACACCTTCACTCATACTCTCAGTATGTTTATCCTGTTTTATTTATCGTATTTTTGATGTGCATTTTCCTATTATTTGGCTTGCACTTTTGTATTGCGTGCATTTCGTTTGGTGTCTGCAACAACATACTGGTGCGGGAGGAGGGAAGTCGAAGTAATCACGCAGGTGTCTAGCAGAAGAGTAAAATGGTTTATTGAGCTAGGTCAGTCAGGTTTCCAAAGTGGCCATTAGTTGGTCCCCCACTCTTCAAGTGGATGTACTATGAGTTGCGCGAGTATACGCGAGTAATCGAGAGTATTGGCGACCATCCGCTAGTTTACGCGAGTATTGGCGAGTATCTACGAGTATTTGGCGAGTATTTCTCGATTGTTTCGCGAGTTATTGTGAGTATCTTGCGAGTATTTTTCCTCGTGTACAACGAGGTTGGCGAGGGGTGGAAGCCCTAACCCTCGGCACTAGTGGCGCTGGTAAAGGTTTAGTGTTGAAGTGAGCCCCTCTCTCCTAGCAGACCACTCTAGTGCGTCCGCTACAGTTTCTGTATGTTCCTGTTTTGCGAGTTCGACACGCCCTTTTGCTTGTACTACAGAGTGGACCGCTCTCGGGCTTTGTTGTTGCAGGGCGTCGGGGCTGAGTGGCGAGCGGTCGCCGTTCGAGGGCTCGTGCTGCGGCTCGTCCTACAACAACGTGTCCTCGGACACGGCCAGCCAGGAGGAGCAGATCAACAAGTTCCGCGTCGTGCTGCTGGGCGAGTCGGGCGTGGGCAAGACGGCGCTCGTGTCGCAGTTCATGACCTCCGAGTACATCCACACGTACGACGCCTCATTGGGTGAGTGAGAGATTGGGGGTGAGGTGCTTGCAGCGAGCGGGGTCGGTGTCAGGTGTCTCCAGGCGGCACGGGCAGGACGATGGAGGGGAGGAAGTTGGGGGTCACGCCCTGCAGGCGGTTCAGGCGTGGGCTGTATAAGTAGAGGAGGGGGGTCGTTCGACTCGGTTGGGACGGTGCTGGTGGGCGGACAGGACTAGTACTGCTGAATTCGGCCATCTCTCACGCCTCGCCGAGCCCAGGGTGAGGGGGTGCCCCCCTCTCCACCCCCCTCCACCCCGCTGGCGCTTCTCCCGCGAACGCAACAAATGAACGGACCAGAAGTCCGGGATAGACTGCAATATCTCACCTGGAGGCCGACAGCTGCCCGGGCCGGGCGCGCGGGGAGGGGAGGGGAGCGGAGCGGAGGTGAGGGGAGGGGAGCGGAGGTGGACAACGGGCCGTAATGAAATCGAGAGAGGAGGGAGTGTTGCCGAGCGAGCGAGGGCTGCCGGCTCTGGATGGAAGGCGAGGAGAGCGGGAAACATTCCGACGGACTGGAGGGAGGCCCCGACGCTAGCGCGCTGCTGCCCGGAGGCAAAGTTGAAAGCTGCGCTGCTACACCGCCC